AAATTAGGGACGGCTAGCGCAGATAGCCCTCGTGTAGCTTTGCGCGAAATTAAAAAAAACAAAAAACAAACAAACATTCCTCTAATTCTTGAAAATTCCTGAGGGTATAGATATAGAACGTAGTGTTAAAGATATAATAGGCCTAATACCAGCGTCTAATATCAAGTAAATTAATCCTACTTGTGATTGGTCAAAAGTGGACTGTGAGAGTAGATGGCATACTTTAATTTAAAGTTCCTTTCAGTTTTATTTTAAATTTGCCTTTTCAACCTGAAGATATGTGAAATCATTATACAACGTGAAGTAAATAGTACTTTCTTGTGTTGACCAAACTTGTTTGTTTTTTATCTGCTGTGCTTGTTTCTTAATTAACATTTCGTAGAAAAAAATCTTCGAACTTCTTGTTAGGCGAGGGTAATTTACACTATTCTTTTAAACTAGGGATTCCATACCTGTATTTTGTCTAACAAAAGCTTATAATTAAAATAGTTATGCTTTTAAGGGGGCTTTTGTTTAATCCTACCAGCAACTGCACATAGTTTCTTGAAGATAATTTCAAGCACACGCTTAGAATTTATGAACATTCTTTACTTACTGCTGCTTCAAACACTATGCTTAAAATAGAAAGTAAAACATATATTTTATCCTACTCTAAACGAAACATTCGGCTTGTGCCGTAAGTAAATATGCACCCCTACCATTACGTCAAATCAAAGCCTGTGTTATATTTTTTCACTTCTTCGCACAACCTCAAGTTTCATCGCTACGTTGTTTATCAAGATAATGATTGGTTAACTCCTAATAGATCTAAATTTTTATAAAAAAAATCATATTGAAGTTTCAACCAAGATGACCATTGTATTCAAATCGTGTTAATTATATATATAAAATATAAATTAAAATCAGTTGTTCGTTAACTTTATAGACTGACTCCAAATACTTTTTTCATCAACTATCACTAGATATCAAATTCACTTTAATACGCTAATAGATAAAACATCAAGAATCATGAGTTATATCGTTCTGCAGATAGACAACAGAATCATGTTGTAATCTTTAGTACATTGGACATGAAATACACATTTGAGCCCATCATTTTGTTAGAAGTCAAACTATTATTTGAACGAACGAAGCGTATAAAATTTAGCTCGTCAACTCATTAAAACTTATAGATTAAAAGAGTGACAGTCAAATTCTAGACAAGAGTAGCCCAAGAGTTAGCGATGGATGCTGTTGACTAACTGCCTTCCCTCCAGTTTATCAGCTCAAATATAAGGACGATATTGCGCAGATAGCTTTATGGCATTTTGCGCAGAAATTCAGAAATAAACAAACTGTTATAGCTACGAACTTCTGTAACTAATCGTAAACCTCATGTTTAACCATTGACAATATAATGAATCAATATTTGAATTATTTGAATACATAGAGATCTTACTTCAAGTATATATATATGTCACACAGCGAGATATAATCGTACTGTAAAATCAGTTACTGTGGTTAAATGTTACACACTAATAGGATGATTAGTTATAAATCACTTTGACCTGGCCAGGTATACCCAGAGTGTAAACATGAGGATTCATGGTTCGCGACCCTTTCCTACAAAAACACTTTTGTTTGTTTTGAAGCCTAAAGTTACTTAATTAGTTATTTGCGCTGGCATGACCAGGTGGTTAGGGTGCTCGACTCGCAATCTGAGGGTCACGGGTTCGAATCCCCGTCCCAACAAACATGCATGCCCTTTCAGCCGTAGAGGCGTTATAACGTGACGGTCAATTCTACTATTCATTGTTAAAAGAGTAACCCAAGAGTTGTCGGTGGATTGTGATGACTAGCTGCCTTCCCTCTAATCTTTCACTGCTAAATTAGGGATAGCTAGCGCAGATAGCCCTTGTATAGCTTTGCGCGAAATTCAAACCACTTTGACCTTCTGTTTCATTTAACTATTGTAAACTAAGTTAATGTTTTAGTTATGTTACATAAATGATGATCAATATTTAAAATATGCATTACAAAACGCAATGATATTTTAATCATACTTTGCAAACTAGACGATGTTTTTACTCTGCATTGGGCTATGATCTATTTTTATTGTATAGTGCGTACTAAGCTTGTGTTTTAGTTTTACTTGCCCATTGAATTAATATTTACATTTTCTAATCTACACTGATATGACGTTTGAACTATACATTACAGTGAGCTCGCTGTTGCAATATGCGTTATACACTGATGTGATAGTTTAATTACACATTGCACGCTGATCTCATGCATTAACTGAGCTAATGTTTTAATTGATCTCATGCATTAATTGAGCTAATGTTTTAATTGATCCCATGCTTTAACTAAGCTAATGTTTTTTATGCAGAGAGCATACTATCTGGTTATTTGTTACACACTGATGTAATATTTTAATTGATCTCATGCTTTAATTGAGCTAATGTTTTAATTAATTAATTGATTCCATGCTTTAACTGAGCTAATGTTTTATGCAGAGAGCATACTATCTGGTTATTTGTTACACACTGATGTAATATTTTAATTACCCGCTGATTTCACTTTGGACCTTTGTGCATTGTACACTATCTTGATAATTAACTCTGCGTTACGCATCAACCTTATAGTTGTATTATGGATTACAGATTGATTCGGTATTTAATTGAAGTAGTGATGTAATATTTTAACTATACATAGCACATTGAGTTCGTGTTTCAACTATACCTCGTACTCTAAGCTTACGCGTTAAGTATATGTTATATAGTGCTTACTTTTACACTAGCACTATATTAAATAAACTGGTTAAGTTATAGAAACAACATAACACCAAATAGTTACTTTTTTGAAACCACAATGTCCTTATTGTCAAGCTATCGTATCACTGAGACAGAGGAATATATATATATATATCCAGTCACCTCTAGAACTGAAATTGATTATTGCTGATTTATTTTAACTGAAAACTATCGAATCGTAATCACAATGCTTCCAGTTAAATTTCTTATCAATTTTTATCAGTTACTTCGGATTAGGTACTTATTTGATCCGTTGAGACCAATTCTAGCGTATTAAAAATGTCCAAAAATGTATATATATTTTATTTTAACTTTGCAGTGTTGATCATAGATTTTTAAATGAACAGAAGATATATTCAATTATAGATGACGCTGACAATCACGTCTTTAATATTTCCTGTTTATTTGAACATTTTCAATTTTTATGCATAAAAACTAAATTAAACCCGCTTGTTTACAGTCAGTTTGTTCGTGGTTCTGCGGACAATATCAAGATATGTCTATTTGTTATTGAATAATAACTACATTTATAACTATGGGTAGTATTATGATAATAGACTTGTAATGATTTATTTCATCACAGATCATAAAGGACTACAAGCTGTTTATGGTTGTTGGAGTGTTGGTTGTTGTGGACATAGTCATCCTAACCACCTGGCAAATTATTGACCCTTTTTATCGAGAAACGAGTCTCGGCACACAGTTGGTAAGCTACGTTATTTTGTATTCAGCCTCTATTCATATATGATAACTATGTACTGTTCAATTTTTCATTTGTATTTAGTTAACATTAAAAATGGTTATAGTTCAGTAAGTTTAAGTTGTCAATTAATTAAAAACTGTTTGTTTGTTGAATGATGTGCAAAACTATTCAAGGGCTATCTACGCTAGCTGTTACTACGTCAGAAGTGATAGAATAGAAGGAAGGGAACTATTCAACACCATCCATCGCCAACTCTTGGGCTACTCTATTACCAACTGACAGTGGGATTTTCCGTCACATTATAGCGAATCGAATGTTATAATCACCAAACCATGCAAGGCCTATTAAAAACTGTTACATTTAGTTTTATCTAACAGATTCATATCATTACACATAGAATGAAAAACGGAACATTGTATCTTGTTATATATATACACGTGAAATCTGCGGAGTTTATCCGTGTCCATGAAAGTTATAATATTTTTAGGCTTAGCAATTACAGCTTTATAAAATAAGAACTTTGTAACATAAGGGTATGCTTTATACTCTCTGTGGAGTTTATATCTGATTTCTTTGCAGCACGGCTGAGTAATTAGCAGTTCTTCAGAATGATGAGTAATGTTAATTCAAGATAAATAACTGAATAATATTAATAATAAAGAACTTGGTGTTAAAATAAATAAATAATTTGATGTTAATAAAATCACAGTTCCAATTTTTATATGTAAAGATATATAAATAATTAATAATAATTACAGTGTACCAACTTCATCTATTTCACACAGAAATAGTTATTCAAGCAAGTGATGATATAAAAAGCGTTTCGATCACAACTATGTCCTATGTCTCTCCTGTCCCAGTCAGATTGAGAGACCTTGATATTGTACGAAAGGCCTCGTCGGCACTGGATATAGCAGATATAATGTAGTCTTCTCTCAATGACGTTGTGGTCGCTTTATCCGCTCCGGCACCATTAGAAATAGATAAGGAGGATTAATCGTTATAGCTTATTCTATTTGTGGGTGGGTTCGTTTGGGTTATTTGGTAAAATAACGAGAAATCCATCTAACAATAACGAATTATTCTATTTCTTCTATTACGTTTCTACAGACTACGTTCACTTGTACTTTGTAGGCCTAAGCTCACAAAACTGTTGTAACAGATATTTCGAGACTAATGACAAATAACTTACTCTCAGAATTTCATTAATAACCGAGCGACTAACAGAATAGACGTGACAACCCTCACTTCTAGCACTGAATAGCTTTTCTGACACTGAACTGAATCATTTTCTCAGTACTCAGTAGCTTCTTATTCACTCATTACTTCACTGATTCTCATATTTAAAATGTATTGTTATTTCTACATACTCCACGGAAGTTCTCGATTATTACATCATCATGAACTTTCTAGCTGTCGCATCATAATCATGATTAACAGTTCCCTCTATTAAACAACTAAATTATAACATTGAAAACACAGCTTACAACGCTGCCCCCTTCTGGATTTGGAGTTTCTTGAACAATTCTAATACACAAGTAAAACATTGCACTAAACTGTCCATTCACCAAGTCTTTTTGAAGGTTTTATTTTCCGAGGCATGTGGTATGCAGATTGAATAGTCTCTTGTCCCTTATCGTTCTTTGCTCTCCTGTCACTGGAGAAGTTCTCCATAGGTAGGTGGTTAAGCGAATCCGATGGTGATTTTATCCTAGGTAATTCTCTGGAAGTGGTCTTGACAACAGTCTTTGACTCTTCAGCAGGTTGACTTTCCACTGATAAATTCATCTCTGAACTTACTTAACTTGCCATGCTATCAGTAATGTACTGCTGAAGATCATGATTGATGACCTTTGGCTTACACTTTCTGGATTCTGTAAGCTACATCACTGATTATTCTCAATATAACATATGAACCTTCCGAGCATCTGCTTGACTTTAGAAAATGTACAGCCATACCATGTCAACTCAATGGAATCCAGTCTTATCAGCATTAGCACTATAATGACTTTTAATTTTATCACTTGCTCATTTACGTTTTTCTGGGTAAAGTAATGTATGAGATCGATGGTATTTCTTACTCTCTCTGCATGTTCTTTTTGAGACTTGGATAAGTGACCGTCCTATGTTCTGCGGATAACTGACCATCCTATGTTTTACATGAGACTTGAATAAGTGACTGTCCTATGTTCTATGTGAGACTTTGATAAGTGACTGTCCTATGTTCTATGTGAAACTTGGATAAGTGACTGTCCTATAGATCTGAATACAATAGGTCTAATGCTACTCTAATTTTCCTTTCAAACGTCAGTGATGACGGTGTGTTGCCTGTAGCTTCATGTACTCCTCTTCAATAATCACACAACCATTATTTTACTCTCTTCAGTGTCTTCCTAACACCTAGGTATCTAGTGTTGGAAAATTATGGGGATGTCAAAGTGCTTCAGAATGTAAAGTCTGTGGAAGTACCAACTGTAGTTGTTGTTTCTGCCCTCTGGTATCTTCCCATTTCCAACATGACAAGTCCTCTTCTAAGCATAATGGATTCCGTTGTGTCCAGTACGTTTTTGTCTTTATGCTAAATAAAGCGACTTTCTGTCATGAAGGATTTTCTGTTCTATATTTGATTCACCGGAGAAAGAACATGAAGCAAATAAATAATTCTTATGTTTGTGAAACGTCATACTGTTTTCTGTTTTTTGTGTGTGTTTTATTGTTGGTTTCTCTAAAAGTATTGATTGAAATGTTTAATATACATGATATATTTACTTTTTATTATTTCTTATTAGCCGCGGGCGTAGCGGCTCATAGAACGGCTCTGAGTTTTTTTTTTTTTTTCAATTACAAACTTTTAGCTCATAGCTTCGGCATCGCTTAACCGATTTGAGATCTAATTACAGTTTTGGACTCAGGAGGCCAAACCCTTTCGATTGGTGTATTTGACCACACCGAAGGCTTCATAGACTAATTTAACCTAATCCTGCCTAAAAGAATATCAATTGCCGCGGCTATTGAGGATTCCCTCTTGTTATATATGTTTTTATTATGAGGATTTTGTTTTGCATTGTTAGCTTAATAAATGGATTAAAAACTGGCTTAAATATCCTAAATTGTGGAACTTCATGGGATATTACCGGGATTAAACCCAAATCATTGTTAACAATTACAGTATTTTTGCTTTATGACATTACGTTAGGCCAGTATACAAATTAGCGATATTTTTCGTTCTAATCTCTGTAGGTTGCTTACTTTGACCAGATGTTAATTATAATCAATAATAAAAGTATCGCATAGTATAAACAAGTTATGAAATATTACAACTTACATATAAATAAATCAATTAAGTAGTATTGGCTACTTAACAAAACTCAAGGCAGGAAAAATAAAAATGTATATTAAATTTCTATGTGGAGTAAACTCCTTCAATCTCTAGAGTGTTCAATGTTTTCTTATCCAAGTGGTAAGTCTTAAAGAATACAAATGGCATATTTTAGTATACAACCTTAGTAATGTGAAGAAGAAAAAAAAAAGCTATACAGGAAGAGGGAATTTCGAATTTTAAATTAAAAGACAGTTTTGCTTGATAGCCTTTCTTGGGGGTTTCAAAATAATGCTGGAGTTATTGTCGTGAAAATCCTTTTTTTTTATTGTTGTTATTCATGAGAAATTTATCGATCTGAATGTTTGTTGAACTGGTTCTCCAAAATGTTTCAACTATAAATGATTTAACGTTTGACTGATTAGCTTTGCAAATTTTGAATTTCTATAGCTTTAAGTTTATTAAATGGAACAGGTTACATACATTTAATAATCTCCAGAAAAACACTTAAGAAAATACACAAGCTTTTAACCAAAAATTTCTTTGGAAGTTTTTGTTTAGAACCCATAAAGAACAATGTAATATCTGATTAAACTGTAACTAAAAACATTATATAATTATTACCAAATGACCGTCGAAAGTCAGCTCTGTGATTCTAGTGCAGTTACGAAGGTGACGTTGGCTTTCATGTAGGGTGATTTCAGTTGTGAAAGTGACGTTGGCTTTCATGTAGGGTGATTTCAGTTGTGAAGGTGACGTTGGCTTTCATGTAGAGTGATTTCAGTT